TTCACGTAGCTGAAGTTGCGTACCTTAGTTCGATTTGGGGGTTTAGTGTAGACCAAGCCATAGATTCTAAGCATGTTTTATGCAAGTTAAGTATTTCTGGCTTCAGCCATCTGAGCTGCTGACTCTGCCTTTCTTGCACCTCGTAGCTGCTGAAGGCCGGCTCAGACAGGGTCCCATGGATCTCTACATGGATCTCATTCTAGAGCCACCACTCCTCTGTCCTTGGGCACAAAGTATTCTCTGATCCTTTTCGCAAATACCCACATTCATCTTTTCTTCTTGCCATCTCAGTTCAAGACTGTAATCTGTACTTCAGTGCTTGAGTACCACTGTGTTGGTTATATGCAAATATCCCAGAGCTTCTCTAAATAGGTTGACATAACTGTTAATACTCTAGAAGTATTTTTAATTTGAACACATTTATAAGCAGAGTTTTCGTAGAATTCACAGCTCTTCCTTTGCATAAAAAGTTACTAATATTTCTATCAAATAGTAACTAAGGCGTTGTGTGGGCAGATGCCATCTAGTGGCCAACCATATTACTGCCTGTATTTCTGTACTTGCACAGCTGAAATTTGTTGTTTAAATTAAATTAATGGAGATATCCCATCTCCTAGAACTGGAAGGGACCTTGAAAGATCATCAAGTCCAGCCCCCTGCCTTCACTAGCAGGATCAAGTACTGATTTTGCCCCAGATCCCCAAGTGGCCCCCTCAAGGATTGAACTCACAACCCTGGGTTTAGCAGGCCAATGCTGAAACCACTGAGCTATCTCAGTCTCCTTTCTCAAATCACAATTGTTAAAACAATGATAACTTAATAAAAAGATATGAGAATCTGAATATTTAAAACTGAAGCAGTTTTTTATTTACTATCTCTTTATTCACAGGAGTAAGCAATATCACTTCTGCTTTGGCTCCGAAAATTGCAACATGATAAATGATTGTTCTGAAATTGTACAGACGTTTTATACTCAAACTAAAAGTTAAAAGTAACATGAGATTTTAAAAAATCTTAACTTTTATTTTCAAAGACTGCTGTGGTAAGAGGATAGAGGGGGATAGATTCTTAATAGATAAACATTCAATATCTATTTATAGTCTTCCATAATTAAAAATACAGAATTAGATATGTGTCCATTGGCATCTTTTGACTAGAACTTGGGGGAGGAACTTTGTGACTACTTCCTCATCTGGTCGTTTCTACACTGCGTTGTAAGGATCTCACACATGAGCTGCAAGTCTGTCTACAAGTTTCCATGATGCCCTAGTCCTTGGTTTTCTGAGCATATATCTAGTCAAATGCTATTTTAGCAATTCATGAAGACTGCAGTTGGTAAAATCATTTTAATCAGACGAACTCTGGAGTTTAATAATAGAATCTCTAAGGACACCCAAAACTTAACTCTCCTCCCCAAAAAACAATCTTTTATTAGTCTTTCCTGCTTTGGGTGACTTAATATGTTAATAGAACATCACTTTCTTTCCTTTTAGAAAAAGACAACTATGTTTTATCAAGAAGATGCCAAAATTTGAATCTTAGAGCCATATTTTTCACATAAGTGAGCTAACTTTCACTAGGAAGGGTATCCATTTTTAGCAAAAGTGTGAAGCATGGCAAATATCTTGGTAAAGGTGCATCCATTCAAATGGAAATGAGAAATCTTACATTTTGAGTGTTTTGTCTTTTGCTGCAATTATTTGTCATATTTCTACTTACAGGGAATATTTTATTCCACAATGGGCTTTAAGTGATTAAAATATTCTACATTTGTAGGTCTGGATTTTGATAGATTCAAAGAGGTGTTGGGGTGAAAAAAGTGTGTTAGAACCTCCGCAGCTGCAAACTCTTCTGAGACAATGTTGATGTAATAGTATAATCTTTTAAGACAACAAACTTACTTTGATGTCCAAAGTAGACTAGTTCTTAATTGCACATAAATTTTATTGAACTAAATTATCTAAATCCAACAGATTGAGAGGATATTTTTGGTGAATACTCAATTCTGATTGTAATAACTGGATTGCCTCTGTTGACTCCCATAACAGGCTGTTAGCTCAGTTGTTCAAGAGCTTCAAGAATTGGGAATATCCCTAGCTGATTTATCTGTTTATTTTAAAGATAATTTGTTCATGTGTTGAAATGTGATTTGTTTTTTTTATCAGTCATAAATAATAATGTCCTGGCCAGAATATGAAGCGTGTAATCTGATGTTGAAGTTCACTTCAACTACTAAAATCTTTCTACTGATGTAATTGTGAAACTTAATTATATAAATGGGATAAATCGGTGGTGGTAAAGCAGATGTATGGGGCATTAGTTAAAATTAAATTTTTAGTTAAAATTAAAAATTGTTTTGGCAAACCATGGACACTTAACTGGAGAGCCTAACTGAGGTCTTAAACTTACAAAAAGACATTGATATTTGAAATATTAATTCAAATATCTATAGTGTCCGCTGACTACTATAATCCATAGCAAATATAATTAGATATAGTGGACAAACTTTCCTTTAGCCAAGTTTAGTGCATATTGTATGCAACTTATAACATGTATAAATGTCTTGCCGAAACAGCCTTTTCCCTTTTGGTCTAATTTACAAGTGGCCAGATTGCTCCAAGTTTCCTTTTCCCTTACTCTTTTATAACTACTACTGTTACAAGTAGCACTTAAAGTCTCTAACTCAGTGGGAAGTTTTTTTTTTATGCAGATATTTTCCGCTTACTTTGTGCATTTAAAAGCACTTTGCATCAGTTACACTGTTTTTGTTGGCTGTCAGTTGCGTTTCCTATCTCCTCACCACCTTATACTTCTCTAGGGGGAGCTCAGATGTACCTGCCTCCAAGACTCTACAAGAATTTGGGGTATAGAAGCTTATGAGCAGTCAGGTGCATGTACAGAAAGGAGGAAGGAGAGGGTTTTATCATGTTAGGTGTTGCTCTTGGGACTGCACACTAGAGCAGAAAAATATTTTTCTTATAAAATTAAAAAATGCAGGACATACAAGCTAAAGTTTACAGTGTTGATTTTGATTTAATAGCTCTAAAACTATCTACATGAGACTGCCAGAGATATTTATTCTAGACGAGATGGAGCTGATAGCAGAACATTTTCAATTAAAAGACTTTAGAATTCATTTTCTAATCTTTAGGCTGAAATATCCTGAATCTGGACTTTAGGGCAAGCTTCCAGGTTTTTGGGGAGAGAAGGGCACAGTAAGGACAAGTATCTTGTGGGTCAGGCAGTTTACTGTTTGGGCTTGATTTTCATTTCTGACTGTTTTTTTCTATAGTTCTTAGATTTAGGAACAGGCTCGCTCTCTCTTATCATTGTTGAAATAGATGCTGGTTTAGCCAATGTAAAAACATCAAATTAATGATGTTTCTTTAGCTCCCAATAATACCTTCATTTTCCAAACCCTGTTAAGTGCTTGATCCTAGAGCTCTCTGCTTGCAGTTCTTTTCTCCTCTCCAAAGACGAGCATGGACACAAGTATAACTGACAAAACACTTATGCTCTCTATAGAATTTTATTTTTCTTTTCAAGCAGAAATCTGGCTTTAAAAGCCTCTTAATTTTGCCACCTGTGGGATTTCTGCCTTAGTTAAATGTCATGGTTGCCAATTGCTAATGGTGGACGATTGAGTAGACTGTTGTAACAGCCACATGGCTCAAAGCGTACAGTAGTGTATTTTCTATGAAACCCAACTAATGCAATTTCCCATTTCAAGTAGCTTGTCTACATATTCACTGAAAGGCTACCACTGTATTTCTGTTGGGTTAATTCACTGTTGTTTCCCTGTATCTCCAATATTGTTTATTATCCTGACAAGCGTAATTGATAATGAATTGCAGTTGTGTCTAAAACATATATCATGTAAATTGGCATGAGAGACAAAACTTTGGTATTAGAGGAGAATGTTAAGCAATCTAAGCTTTTGCTACCCCTTCCGGATATTTTGTTAACCCATTATGCTAGTCACATTTTACGTGATGACTTATTTGTTTTGAGATCTACATTTATAGCAATCCATTAAAATGTTACTCTTTAGAAATCAGCACTGCTGGGATGAAGCAGTATTGAATATTGATCTTTCTTGACCTTTTCTTTAATAGGTAAGTTTAGTTCTACACTCTACGAGACGGGAGGCTGTGACATGTCACTTGTGAACTTTGAGCCAGCTGCAAGAAGATCATCCAACATCTGGTGTGTGTGAAGGCCAGTCAGAAGTCTTCTTATCTTATCTGCAGTATAGTTACAAGCATTTAATTTCAGCTATAGAAGACCTTGAAGTATAAAAAATTTAATCCTGGGTCTCTCTTTACTATTGTGAAATCTGAACAAGTTTAGCAGAAAACAGCATTAAAGTAACAAATATTTTGGAAAATTATTGCTATTCCAAATAATAGTAAATGTGTTCACTCAAGGATTGACAAATGCACTTCCATACAGTCTGTAGAAAACTTTTTTTTTTCCCTTGGGGAACTTACTATCAGTTTCTGCAGAGCATATGATGATAAATAAAATTTAGCAATTAGGGCTGCAAAATGAACTTCCAATTGTGAAGCAAATGTAAATCGATAGTACTGTGTTCTTGAGTGTGCAGATAGACCGAAACCGTGTAGAGAAGTGTAACATGCCTGCCTGCAAACATAGCCTGAAAAGCAGGCTAGGCACTGGGAAGTTTTCCTGGTGCTAGAAGAACTCTAAGTCTCCCACTTAAGTGCAGCAGAATTGCTCTGGGCCTACTACTCCACCATCAGGATTGAAGTAATCTCCATCACTTGTGCCCATGGGCGAACAATCAGGGGCGGCTCTATGTATTTTGCCGTCCCAAGCACGGCACTGAGGCAGGCTTCGGCGGCATGCCTGTGGGAGGTCCGCCGGTCCCATGCCTTTGGCGTACCCGCCGCTGAAGCCGCGGGACCGGCGGACCTCCCACAGGCATGCCGCCGAAGCCTGCCTCAGTGCCGCTCTCATAGTGACTGGCAGGCCGCCCCCCGCCGCTTGCCATCCCAGGCACGCGCTTGTTGTGCTGGTGCCTGGAGCCGTCCCTGCAAACAACTGTTGGATCCATGTAGCCATGGATCAAGAGACACCACTCCAAATCCCTGCTGTGCAACAGTACGCAGGGACCTCCTATGGAGTTGACCTTGGACACAAACTTGTGTATTCCTTGCATGGGCCTGCCAGATCTTGCCCCTATGCAGTGTACATTTTAATAGCAGTGGTCTTGTTAAGAGGGCCCTACAAAGCTGTAGAGAAAGCAGTGGGATTCGCACCCAAGAGCAGTTATGAACTGGCCCAATCTAACTGAGGTATTAACTTTCAACCTTCTCATTTCTGTGGGTAGTTGTAATTTTGAGAGGTACAATTAGTCTAGCTTTTGGGAGACTTTAAGCACTTACCTCCTAGCTGCACCAAAATCTCCATACACTGAATGCATTGGCATAGTGTAGAACAGGGGTTGGCAACCTTTCAGAAGTGGTGTGCTGAGTCTTCATTTATTCACTCTAATTTAAGGTTTCGCGTGCCAGTAATACATTTTAACGTTTTTTAGAAGGTCTCTTTCTATAAGTCTCTAATATATAACTAAACTATGGTTGTATGTCAAGTAAATAAGGTTTTTAAAATGTTTAAGAAGCTTCATTTAAAATTAAATTAAAATGCAGAGCTCCCCGGACCGGTGGCCAGGACCCAGGCAGTGTGAGTGCCACTGAAAATCAGCTCATGTACCGCCTTTGGCACGCATGCCATAGGTTGCCTACCCCTGGTGTAGAATAAGTCTTCTTACTATAGAGTTATGGGATGAATTGTCCAGAGTTGCTTTCACTTTTTTTTTTTTTTTTGGCCAGCTTCTCTGTGCAGGAACACATACACTAGAAGCTTCATTCTGTACTTATGGTAATTACTGAATTTTGCAGTTTTATAAAAAGCAAAATGAAAACTGATTCTACAGCCTACAAATGTAGGATAGCCTCACTGAGCTGAAGGAATTGAGGCTGGTGAACAAATGCAGATAGGTGAGGCTTGTTGAGTAATGAGTGGTTGGGCACTTGGAGGAACAACACCACTATGGCCCAATTATAAATGACTCAGTCCTGTTCAGAATGCTATTAAATCCAAAGGGAGGGTGCAGGAGGTGTTGTTTTTTCCTTCCCACCCTTCGCCTGCAGGGAGTACACAACTAGCTATATTGGCCATTGCTTGCCAGAGCAGTGGAATCTCATTGGCCTGAACTTGCAGTCAACTGCAAACCCAAAAATCCACATACAGAGTGCCTTAACTAAACTGGCCTTTGGTAAATTCTTCTAATTGACAGTAGAACTTTTTCAGCAGGCTTTTTTGCATGTGTGCTTTGCCATGTTTTCCAATCTAAAGTGTAACTTGTCTATGGCTTTTGGGTGTGGGCTTTAAAATTAACTGAAAAAGTCCTGCAGAATGACTTAATCTTCATTTTAAACTAAAGACTACAACTTATTTCACATTGTCAAGTATCAGAGGGGTAGCCGTGTTAGTCTGAATCTGTAAAAAGCAACAGAGGGTCCTGTGGCACCTTTAAGACTAACAGAAGTATTGGGAGCATAAGCTTTCGTGGGTAAGAAC